CCAGCCTCCTCTCCAAGTTCCCCAGCATCAGCAGTGCCGTATTTAGCTGCCGGGGGAGGAGAAATTGCTTTCACCTAGAGTTGATGTACCTGACTGTTACTTTGAATGTAAAATGCCCCGCACAGGCTCATGTGTACGGGCACTTGGTTCCCATCGGGTCCTGGCCCCCTGAGGAGCAGAAGCAGCCCTTCCACCCTCCTGGTCTGACAGTCGCATCAGCAGCTCTGCCTCAGCCTCCTGCCACCATGAACTCCACCACACTGTCCCCAATGTGAAGGACTGACACTCGCTTCAAGTTGCTTTTGTCCAGTGTTCTGTCACTGCAACAAGAAAAGTAACTAGCATAAGAGCTTCCTTCCAAATGACTGCAGCATGGAGAATGGGGGTGTGGTCACGTCCAGGGTTCAATGCTGACAACACACAGGGCGGGGCAGAGCAGAGGTGACACGTGTGGCCTACTCAGTGAGATGACAAAGTGCGCGCGTGTTCCTGTGTGTATCTCCCACTGGGTGCAATCTTGCTCTTCTCCCTCACCTCTCCTACATACCTTCTGAACTGTGGGTGGGTTGCCTGGGGCCGAAGGTCACAGATCTCAGCTCTCTGCCTCAGAGAATCCCCACGACCCTGCCAACTACGGTGCAGCTGCAGCCAAACCTTTCCCAGAAAGACACAGGTCTGCCCACTTCCCCTTGAGCCTCTGCTGGTCTGCGATGAGGCCCCTCCTAGAAAAGTATGTTCAGTGGCCTCCAGGAAATCTACCCTCTTTCAGCGGGAGGCAGAGGGCTGCAGAAACCTGCTGGGCCCTGGGATCTGCCCAGGGACTGACACCTAGAAGGTGACATTGGCTGATCAGCCTGACCCCACCCCAAACCCTGTTTGGCTTGTCTTTTGTCAGAAGGTTCAGCCTAAGGGACTAGAATGAAGCAACAGCTTCCCTGGGGTGAATTACTGCCCAGTGCTGGTATCTGGTTTCTCAGCCAAGCACGGGTGGCTCTGGCTCCAACTCCTTTGACTTGTACGCATTGCACACTGATTGTCTCTGTTTGCCTGGGTACTGACCCTTGGTCCTGGTTGCCTGCTGAGCACTGGCTCTCTAGGTTTGTCTGGATATTGATCCTCAATCCTGCTCACATTCTAAACACTAGTTGCCTACCTTTGCCAATTGTACTTGCATGTTGCACACTTGCTGTCTGTGTTTGCCTGGATACTGATTCTGGTTGCACAATGCACACTGGTTTTCTACGATTGCTTGGAATCCATCCTTGATCCTGGTTGTACTCTGTACTCTGGGTCTCCAAGTGTGACTAGTTAGTCCTCTCAGAGAAAGGACTCTGTGGCCTGACTGTTTCAGGCCCAGACGTAGGTCTTACCTGCAAGCACTGCTGACCCTATTTTCAGAAGACACCCAGTTCTCTTGCTGGGCTTTCCCCTGACCTAATGTTTCTTTAGGTACCAGAAATAGGCATGTGCTTGAGACTCAGGTGGCTTCTCCCTACAAGGGCAGTGCTTGCATGGGGCTTCTAGGAAGACAAGGGCACTTTGTCAACCACTAGGACAGCTTTCCTGAATTTGTCTGCATTTCCCGGGCCATCCAGTTGCTGAGGGTTGTCCCTGATTCTTTCAGCGTGCAAGTTACAGTCATGTAACAGCACCCCCACCTCTTACCCCTCATCTAGGCTGTTTCAAGTGATGGTTTATGTTTTGTGACCTAGGAAGCAAGAAGCTGGGGCATGTCCACTCCTATTTTCATGTCTGTCTGGGATGGCCAGAACCTGGCAGAGATCACACATCCGGGGCTTGCCAGGGACCCATACTGTCTAAGCCCCCACCCCCACCCACAGGGGAATTGTGGGAATATCCCGATCCCTCTTGAGAGTGAAAGGTGGAAAGTAACTTGTTGGGCACTCCGTACGGAGGACTCCACTTACAAGTGTAGAGAGCTGCTGTGGCAGAAGTTCCGGTGGGCAGCAGAAACGACTTGTCCACACTCACGGCACATCAGGGGTGGGATCCCTCCCTTTAGGGAATTTGACTCACAGGCTGCTTGCTTCTGACACCTCCCTGCTGAAGAACAAAGGGGCAGAGCTGTCAATACACTGCAGGTGGGCGTCAGTATGCCAGTGAAACTGTAGGGAGAATGTTGTGGGGTAGCTGGGGTCAAAGCCTGGGTCCTGGCAACCTTAAAAAGTTAGATGTAGCTATCTCTCCCCAGTTAAAGAAGCAAATAGTAATAAGAGCAGAGAAAAGAAGTGTGTTCAGTGTGGCCACAGTGGGGAGAACAAAGGAGTTGAGTGACCCCCAAGTCCATCTTCAGGGTCCTGACATGAGCTTCAGGGTTAAATGGGGAGCAACGAGACGCACAGCTAAGCAGGCCTGGCCAAGGTGTGGCCCTGCCCATCACTGACCCCTCACTACCCTGCGAAGGAGTTTTGACAGGTGGTCAGAAGTGTGTGAAATCGCCAGGCAGTGACAGCACACGCCTTTAATCCCAGCACTGGTAAGGCAGGCCTGTCTCTGTGGGTTGGAGGCCAGACTGGTCTACAGAGTGAGTTCCAGGCCAGCCAAGGCTCTTATATAGAGAAACCCTATCTTGAAAAACCAAAACGAAAAAAAAGTGTGTCAAATCCCTTCCTGGGAGACAAGTTCCCACTCTTACTGGAGTCAGCCTCTTCCTTCTGCCAGCTTGAGATCCCTGGAGAAAGTCCAATTTCTTGGAGTCCGTTTTCTCAGTAGTCTGACAGCCCAAGAAGAATAGGGCTCAAGCCTCTTTATAAATCTTCACAATAGAAGTCCCGGGAAGATGGGAGGAAACCCTGATGCCCTTTGGCTGAAGAAGGAAGGCCATGTGTAAGGTGGCCTCAGCCTCAGCCTCAGCATCATGGAATGGCACACTGATCCAGGTGAAGAGTGATGAGTTACAAGTGCCCACGGGGAGAAGGGACACAGGCTCACCAAGATTACTTCAGAGGAGACTGGCCACTCTCCCACACACGCTGTCACAGAGTCCTGTGAGGCAAAGGGTGTTCCTGGAACCTAAGGGGCAGGACTCAGGCCTTATCCAACTGTGTCTTTCAACTCATCAAGGTAGCCATCCAGCCATCAAGGACTAAAGGGCGAGGCCTGTGGGAAGAAAGGGTTTGTGAAGATAAAGCAGGCAGAGGGAGCAGGGTGCAGAGACAAGGGATGTCTACTCTGAATTCTCATGTTTTGGTTTCATGGGGAAATGGTGACTTTCTCCAAAGTGGCGATTACAGAGGGTGAATAGGAGAAAAACCACAGGGATTTTTTTTCTAGGACCAAAAATCTAAAAGAAAAAATTTCCTCCAAACTAAACAAAGTTAGATTGAGAAATTCCACACAGTACCTAAGGGACCTGGAGCTTCCCACTGGCGCCAGCCTCACATCCTAATGGCTGCCTGGGGAAGGGACACTAAGTTGATCTTCAAGATGCAGAAAGTCATGATTCTTTTTTGCAGAACCTTTGTTGCTGAAAGTTGGAAGCAGGTTTTGAGAGCTTCAGTAAGAACAACCACTGGTGAACCCCCCCCAGGCGCGCACCCGAACGCACGCACACACACACACACACCTGCTACCTGTCCAGGCACCTCTCCTGTACCCTGCCCCTTCGGCAGGGCAGGTGCTTAGCCTCAGATTACTTGTGGGTCCCTTCGCTTTAAGGCCCTTGGGTGTTGGCTGCTGTCAGGACCCACAAGGTGATTTCCCCATGACACCCTGGGCTGAGTAGCATCCAACATTAAAGAAACAAAGGAACCCCCTAATTACGAGATGAAACTCTGCCTTCAAAGAACGAAAGACCAGATTCTGAAGGAAAAGCTGCTGCCGGGCCTGGGTGGTCTTGCTGGTGTTTGCTGTTCAGTAATTTGATTAAATGAAAGCCATGCATTTGGGGACTTTTTTTTTTCAAGTAACATAGGCGTCATTTAACCTTCTTCGGCAAATTATAGGGGCTTTAGGGGAATGAGAAGTCTTTAGCCCACCACACACTTCCCCTATTAGACACCGTGTATCTATATCTGATGGTAAAAGTTATCCTATGCCTTAAAAATAATAATTAAACAAAAAAATCTCTCGCAACTGCTCAGCTGCAGGGTGTGGGGTCAAGTTCTATTTACATAGAATTCTTACCCACACCATCTGATCTTCGTTAACTTCTAGATCTAAACCTACTTGGGTCTTGTGCTTACAGACCCTTTAATTAGCATGCTATCTTAAATTGCTCTTGAATTGAGGTGGCTGTGACTGGTTTCTTATCTGTGGAGGTAGAGGCCTTAGGCTACCTGCAGGGCCCACGTGGCTGAGATTTTATCTGTCCAAATACAACCCTGTGTCCCTAGACCTGCTGGGGCTGAGCCTGGAAGGCTACTCTAGCCTTCAGTGCTGTCTCAGTTGGACCCTGGGAGGGCTCCCATCCCTACCTCGAGTCTTCCAGGTTGCCAGTTGCTGTAGGATGTGGATGAAGAGGGGAAGGGCTTTCCAATCTCTGAGTGCCAGGGCTGGCCCTGTCCTTGCATCTCTGGGGGTGGGCTGCTGAGGCACCCCACACAGTTGATGAAAATCCTGAGCCTGCAAAGTCACAGACACCACCATCTGTGGCAGGGAAACCAATAGCCATCTCTTTCTAGGCCAGGGGTCAACACAATTTTGGGGGGGAACCTAGGCAACTGCATTGAAAAGAATGGTGACAAAATTCTTTGAGGTAAAGAATCCTAGTTTCTCCAGAGTTCAAAGCTATTCTGGACAACTTAGAAAGAGCCAGGATGCAGCTGTCAAGTGGTGGTGGGACCCGTCAGATCACTGGTGATATGGCCTTGAAAACGGCAGGTCTAAAACCATCTAGGAGGCAAACCTCTGGGCTTGGCTGTAAGGTGCTGAAAGGGAGTTTCTAGACTGTGCAGCACCATGCAATGGACCAGGCTCCTACACGGAATAAAGGTGGACCTGAACACCAGCATTCATCTCTCTCTGCTTCTTGACGGCAGAGACACTGTGGCCAGCTGCTTCATCCGCCAGCCACCAAGCCTCCCCCTCCGTGATGGATTGGAGCCTAAAACGGTGTGAAGTAAGCCCCTCCTTCCAGAAATTGTTTCATTTAGATCTTCTGTCACTGCGACAAGAGAAGTAAGTAACACACACCATGAAAACCTTTTCCCTTTGTAAGTTGATCATCTCGGTTATTTCATCACAGTGATGGAAAGTTGACTGACACTCCAGCTTTCCCCCTCAGCACACATTGCCAAGAGAAGTGTGACAGGAAATCCACATGCGAGCTAAAGAGTGTCACAGGTCCTGTTTGTACAGAACTTGCCACAGAGCTGGGGGTAAACACTACTTGATTTCCCCTGGTAAAAGTTTAACACAAGATAAACTTGCTAACTGCAAAATGTACCTTAAGATTGTTCTCTGCCTGATAGCTAATGTCAACAGGGGTGAGATGGGGGTGGGGTCTGTCTCAGATTCTAAGGACCAGTGTGCAGATTTGTCTGGAAAACCGGCCCAGCTGCAACCTACTCAGGTTCCCAACTTCTGTCTGTCCTAGAGCCCTGGAGTAGACAGGACGGAAGTGAGTGGGGAGGGTGATGAGATGAGGGTGCTGATGGCCGAGGAATCTCAACCTCCTGACTTTCCATCTTCAGATCCATGCCTTCTTGGAAGCCTGTGGAGCCTGGAAACCACTCAGATGTCAGGGCGACCAATAGAATTCTGAACAGAAATAGCCAGTCACGGGAAACGAGCCCTACAACTCAACTGGGGACACTGGGTGTTGTCATCAGCAGGGACAGAGCCCTGAGATTCACTTTAAAGGTGATTTGATCCCAGACAAATCAGACTTTCTTTTCAAAGAGTGAGACATTTTTATGAGTATAAAACTCACTGAAGGAGATGAATTTTTCTCTCAATGTCAGTTCAATCCACAGAACTATTAATTAAAAAAAATCTACCCATCTACCTAACTACTATCTATCACTCTGTCTGGCTGTCTGGCTGGTTGAATAACTCTGAATGGAAGTAGTTGAGTAGCTGATCACGTACGTCTGGAAAGAATGGGTGGGGAAGTTGACACTATCTTACATATTTACATATTATTATTTTTATTTTTATGAGACTAAGCCATTGCACAGAATTGTATGTTCCCAAAATAGCTCAGAAGAGTGGAATTTAAGAAAGAAAGAAAAGGCAAAGCTGGAGGAAAACAATTTGAGACAGAGTTTCACATAAGGCTATAAGCAGCTGAAGATGACATTGAACTTCTTATCCTCCTACCTCTGGCTCCTAAGGGTCTGGGATGACAGGCATGTGTCATCAGGCCTAGAGAGCTGGAGATAGCTCAACAGTTAAGAGCACTTTTTGTTCTTGCAGAGGATCTTAGTTCAGTTCCCAGCACCCATGTCAGTTCACAACTGCCTATAACTCTGATCCAGGCATCTGCCTCCTTTCATCTCCTGGGACATTTACACCCACATGCACACACAATTAAAAACAACAAAAATCCTATAGATATATACACACCATAAATACACATTGTCTTCCATTGTACCCACTGGTGAGGCCCTGGGCTTCAATGTATAGTTCCAATCCAGTAGCCACACAGGTGACCCTGGCCAATCCCAGAGAGACACAAGCAAAACAAAAAGATATGAATGTGGGAAAGATCTAGTAGGAAAGGGAGAGTGGACAGAAGACCGATGAAGGTAAGAAGACTCACCACAAGTATCTACACCCACCTCTCAAGAAAGTCCTCAGTAAGCCAAAACTCTTGTAACAGAAGGAAAGCATGGGCCACGACATAGCCCATGCTCAGTATGTGCTCGTGCACTTTAAGAACTTTCTAGCGGTTGCCGGGTGTCTGAACAGCTGAGCTACAGTTAAAGGGATTGTATACTTGAAATAATGAAGCAGAGAAAAGCCACTGAAGGGAATACAAGGAACAGCATCAGTGTGTGTGTGTTTGGGAAGAAGGGGGTCCCTAAAGCACAAACAAGCTTTCCCAGTCTCATTTACTTTTACCCTTAGCCCAGCTCACAGACAGACTCTGAAACTTCTCATTATCACCAAATGTCCTTTCAAGTATTGAATGGCTACAGAAAAGTCTAAGTCACCTCCCCAGATGACATGTAAGACATGTCGATTCATTTGACTGTCCTAAGCAGGTACATAATCCTGAGGCGTTGCCTCCTGCCTTCTTCCCATTCACAAAGGATACATGACGTGCACACACACACACACACACACACACACACACACACACACACACCGTCTAGCAGTGTCCAGCCCTTTGACTTTGTTATCTACCAAGCTCACACTCGAGAGTGTGCAATAGAGGTAGAAGAAAATTTCAGAAGCATGATGATTGTATGTGCACATGAGTGTGCACATGTGTGCAACTGAAGAGGTATACATATGAAGACCAGAGCTGTACCATTGGCCTCTTCCTCTATCACTCCCAATGGTATTGCCTCCAGATAGGGTCTCTTAACTGAACCCTAAACTCACCCATTCTGCTAGGCTGGCTGGCCAGCAAGCTCTTAGGATCCACCTGTCTTCACCCTACAGTGCAGGGCTTATAGGAACACACAGCCATGCCCAGCTTTTCACATGGATGCAGGGGGTTCTAACTCAGGTAATTCAGAGGAAGCACTCTTACCACTGAGCCATCTCTCCAGCCGCATCATCATACTTTAAAAGCTTAAGATTTTGTGCATCCCTGCATCCCTGCATCCCTGCATCGACAGGTGGCCCTGGCCTCACATGACCTGTGGCTGTAGGTTGGACATGCCTATTGGGAACATTGTCTGTTAGGATTTGTGTAAGAACTACTAGCACTAGGCTGTAGTGTCATGTCCAGCTTCCTGACCACACTCCAGTGAGACAAGTGAGTCCAGCTCCTAACAGACTCCAAGATCACAGAGAAAGAACTTGAAGCATTTGTAGAACCACTGGGAGGTACCACTCACCAAAGAGGTTTAAACAGCTACCATGCTGGGAGGTGGTGGGGTGGTGGCACATGCCTTTAATCCCAGCACTCAGGAGGCAGAGGCAGGTGGATCTCTGTGAGTTTGAGAACATCCTGGTCTACAAGAGCTAGTTCCAGGACAGCCTCCAAAGCCACAGAGAAATCCTGTCTCAAAAAAACAAACAAAACAAAGACAAAACAAAGACAAACAGCTGCCACGCCAGTAGCTGCCAATTTCTAATTCTTTGTTACATATATCATTTACGTAAAGAGAATGAGTGAGTGTGTACAAGTTTATGTGTGTGTATGTGTGTACATGCATGCTATCACACATGTGTGGAGGTAAGAAGACAAGTTGCAAGAGTCAGTGCTCTCCTTCCACTAGGTAAGTGCTCCCCTCCACCCCTGCCCGAAACTCAGATCACCAGTCTAGACAGCAAGCGCCTTTACTCACTGAGACATCTCATAAGCCCGTGGCCCTTGATTTCCCAAGGGGCAGAAATGAATTGAGAAAAATAGCTGCTTTGCATGTATACACCAGGACTCCATGGGTAATTGTGTTCTGCACAGAATGGAGCATCTGGGCAACCTGATGTTCCTTAACAACATCAGGGAAGATGCCTCAGTTGACAAAGTGCCTGCATACAAGCTTGAAGATCTGAGTTCAGATCCCCAGCCCCATATGAAAAGCCAGATATAGTGTATGAGACGCTTATAATTCCCGTGGTAGGGAAGTGAAAATTGAGGATTCCTGGTGACCACTAGCCAGCCAGGAATCTTCTGGTACACACACACACACACACACACACACACACACACACACACACACACACACACAGGAACATGTGTACACAATTTACAAAGACATATATGCACACGAAAGGTATTTCTAATGAAGATAAGGTGTTTGGAAAATAGGAATGTGTAAGCTGAAGCTGCCGAGGTGGAAACTGACTTCAGCTATGGTTTATCAACCCACAGGTGGAGGCACATCAACTGCTGATGTCAGCCCTTAGCAGACCACTAAGGAAACACTGAGTGAGGACCCACAGCAAACTACTTTCTCCCAAGGCGAAATGGCCGGGGGCAAAGCCTCCATGGAACCTTAATCTCAGCCCCCAAGCTTTGCAACCATGCTGTAGAGAGGCCTGCTCTTGAACACCTGGGTGAAAATTCTACTCTTTGGAAGCGAGCCTGGGCATGTTTTGTCTGGTCTTTGGGACACTGTGTCTCTCGTGTCATAAGCACCAGAACAGGGGCCATTGCTTATTGTTGTGGTCTGGCTGTGAGCACAAATTCATTGGCCAACACACAGTGTGTGCTAATTAGACACTAGGTGATGAAGTGGGTACTGTGGAAATACGTGGCTACTGGTTGAGCCATTGACACTGAAAACACTAGGCTTCACCCTGTCATTCCACACCAGAACACTGAAGTTCACAAAAGGAGTTCACAATTTTATTTAGGGGGAAATATCTGCCATTACCTGGCATGTTTGATGCTTGGCACAGCAGCAAAATACTTTCAAAACATTCACTTTTCTAGGATCATGCATGGTGGCACAGGCATTTAATCCCAGTACCTGGGAGAAAGAGGCAAGAATGTCTTTGTGAGTTCAAGGCCGGCCTGGTCTACATAGCAAGTTCCAAACCAGCCCAAAGCTACATAGTAAGAGTCTGTCCAAAATAAATTTTAAAAATATTTAACAATACAAAGAAAAAGAATAATTGTCTCTAACCTTATCATTTTCCCACTTAGAATTAAAATTTTGCTGTATATGTATGTACAAATATATGTGTATATATAAGCATACATGTACATGCAGATTCATGTATATTTAAAATTAAGCATTGTATGTCTGCCCTTTTCACTCTTACAAGCTGGATCTTGTATTTGTTCAACACCTATGTCTGAAAACGTACTTTTCCTTCTGTTCACAGCATTCCATCCTAGGGATGGGCTCTGATTTTACTTCACTTTTTCCTTATTTTCTACATTGTTTGTTTCCAGCTTTTCCCGTTTTATAAAGAGACCTTCACAGAACACGCTCATTCATAAATTGCACTCCTCACTTCCAGCCACGCTGCTGAGACAGACACCTGAGAAGCAGGATTGCTAGGGCCAGAGAATAGTAACACTTCATGGCTCCTGTTACACACTCTTTGTAAGACAGTTTTTAAAATTCTATTAAGGCATGTCTAAAGACAATTATGGGGAATGACATGTTAAGCTTGATAGCAGCCCTTTTGCCTCTTTTCCTTCATCCAGGCCAAAGGACATGTTGGACACCACTATGGCTTGGAGTTACCCTGCTAATCCGAGTGTTCCTATGTCCCAAGGCCCACTGTCATAGGCAGGGCCCTCCACCACACACACCCAGGATCTCTCCTTCAGGACACCCTGACACACAGTTTGCAGAGTCAGGCCTGTCTCTAAGGCTGCAGCTCTCTGCTCAGCAAGTGCTCTACCCACTGAGCAATCTCCCCACTCTTGACTTTGTTTTTGATTTGGTAGAAAGTTAAGCTTGTTGTTTAATCTGTAAAAAGCATGAGTTTATGATTGCATGGAACAGTTTATTATCTATAAACCTCCTCTCCCCTCCTTTTTCCTATTTATTTTATTATTTATTTATTTATTTCGGACAGGGTTTTACTCTAACCCAAGCTGGCCTTAAGTTATGAATTCTGGAATTTACTCTGTAGCCTGGTCTGGCCTTGAACTTGAAATAACCCTCCTGGTTCAGCCTCCCAAGGGCTGAGATGACAGACTTGGCCCACCACACCCTGCCCTCTTTTGCTTTGTTTTGCTTTGCTTTTACTTTTACATTATACTTAACATACTTTGAAACACTAATACAAAATAAGTTAATGCAGTAACGACTGATAGGTTCACTACATAGATCACATAGATTAGGTATACGCTCACCCCAGTCAAGAGAGTTACAGGATCAAAAATCGAGAGCTAAACAGTTCTAGACATCCCTCATGCGGATGAGAAACTAGCAGACAAGAGATGTGAAAGGGTACTTTTCAAGTCTTTAGGAAAAATAGTAAACTGAAGACTGACTTCTTTACAGTCCTTCCCAGTTTATAAACCGTGTTCATGTTGCTCTCAGCCAGTGAAACACCCACCCAGTACCCCCTCCAGGAGCCCCAGGGGGCTGATTTTACATCTGGTGTTATTTCATTTATTGGTCCTGCTATGGGAAACACCCTTCAACTGGAGTCTCTACAAGGCTGTTAAGATGAGTTCACATGAGAAGCTGCAGGCTACCATTTTGGGCAGGCTGGTTTTCAAGCTAGCCAAACACACCGAATTCAGAAGAAACTGAAGTCATATCTCATGGCAGGCTCACAGAGGGATTTTCAGATTTTAATGAACCTGTTACTGAGGTTTGGAGATGTGGCTCAGTTGGTAAAGGTACTTGTCTGGCACGCACGAAGCCTTCGGTTTGGTCCCTAACTCCACAAAAACTGAGTATAATTGTGAACCTCCTCAAACCCAGCACTCAAGAAGAGACAGGAGAATCAGGAGTTCAAAGTCATCCTCGGATACCAGACAATTCTAGGCTAGCCTCGGCTCATGAAACCCCATCAAAAAATAAGAAAAACAGATAAGAACCTGTTTGTTAGAGGTCACATCTGACACTTGTGACTCCAAGGACCAAAGAAAATCTCAAAGAAACTCCAGGTTGTATCTTTCAGTGTCCGGGTGGGTTTTTCTGATGAAGGAACCCATCAGATTTGTCTGCCACTTTGATCTTCATGGAAAATGATGGCAAACGCATACTATAACATGAAATTAATCACCCATCAGAAACAGTTCCCCAGGCAACTCAAGCAGACCTTTGATATTTATTGAGTACTTCTGGACTCAGGGAAGGAGATGGTGAATAAGGTACGGCTGCTTCATCCAAAGGCATCTCAGTGTGTTCTATATCTGTCCAGTCGTGTCTATGGGATCCGTGCCAAGCCTATGGAGTGCTGGCTTCCATTGCAGATAATGCCATAAGTCATTGTGACTGCTCATGGTATAGCTGTGAGCCTTATATGGGATCATGGGGGTGATATCATCATGCATTTACTCTTCAGTTGGGTATGTTTGTTCCTGTGGCTGCCAAGACATATTGCCAAAATCTGGATGCTTAAAACAATTTTTAAAAAAGCTGGGAATAATGGAAAGTAAATACTTAGATGGCATGGTGGCACACACCTTTAATCCCTGCACTCAGGAGGCAGAGGCAGGTACATCTCTGTGAGTTTGAGGCCAGCCTGGTCAACAGAGTGAGTTCCAAGACAGCCAGAACTACATAGTGAAACCATGTCTCAAAAACACGACTACCAAAAATAACAAACAAAAACAATAAAATTTTACCGCCCAGTTTTGAAGGCTGGAGCATGAGACTGGGCACTGGGAAGACAGTCCCTACTTTAAAGGCTTGAGGGTCCATTGGTTCCCCCTTTTTTTCTCAGCTTTTAGTTTTGTGTGAATTCTTGACACTTTTTGATTTGTCAATGTGTCTCTTTAATCTGCCTTCATTATCACACATCTTTTGTCATAAAGACACTGGTCATGTTGGACCTCACTTATTCTAGACCAGTACTAACTTATCTTCCTTTAATTACTTCTAGAGACCTAATTTCCAAATAAGACCCCAAGAGTAAGGTCTGTAGAGGACTTTCCAGAAGACATGGCTTCACCCATTGTCCTAGTTACTTTCTACTGCTGTGAAAAGACACAGTGACCAAAGCAACTTTTAAAAGAAAACATTTAATTTGGGGCTTATGGTTTCAGATGCTGGAGTAGTAGCTGAGATCTTACATCTGATTCCTAACCACAAATAAGATAGATAGATGATAGATAGATAGATAGATAGATAGATAGATAGATAGATAGATAGATAGATAGGACAGATGATTGATAGACAGACAGACAGAGCAGAGCAGATAGATGATAGATATATAGCAAGAGAGATCATTAACTGAAAATGGCATACCCGATGGCACACCTCCTCCAACAAAGTCACACTTCATAATCCTTCCCAAACAGTTCCACCAACTGGGCACCAAGCATTTAACTATATGGAGTCCATTCTCATTCAAACCACCAAAGCCACACACAGGGTGTGATTGCTTCAGGCCTCTCCTCAACAGAAACAGTGGTGACTTCCTTCAGCAAGCCCACAGCAAGTTCACACTGCTGCATCTAAAGACACAATAGAAAGAGTAAGCCACTGTGGGCTACAGTAGCCTGAGTTGTGTTTTCAGGAGCAGATGAAAGAGTGGCCTAAAGAGCACCATGAAAGAAGTGACATTGTGTCCCTTTCTTTAATCTTGCCTGTAGCATACTATCCTTCCTCTCCACATTCTAGTGCACCATGAACAGAGGGAAAGTTCTGTGTTTCTGCTATAAGCCAGTGCCACAAACATTGCAGACCCCTCCCTATTCCTCCTCTACAGCAGGGGTCACCTCTACAGCAGGGGCCACTGTCCCTGGAGACCGTGGTTTTCTTCTTGTTCTTAATTTCTGTTGCTGTGATAAAATACTCTGAAGAGAAGAGTCACCGAGAAGATGAAGGATTTATGTGGTTTATAATTCTGGTTCACGGTACATAATTGTGGGGAACACTGGGGCAGGAACGTTAAGCAGCCAGTTTCGTCACATCTATAGTCAAGAGCAGAGACTGAACAAATGCACATGTTTCCTTGCTTGCTTATACTCCTCTAGCCCTTTCCACTCTTAGACAGTTCAGAACTGGCCCCAGCACCCTCCAGTCCCTTGGCCTAGGGAGTTGAGCCACCCACAGTGGGCTGGGCCTTCCAACATTAATTAACTTAATTAAGACAATTCCTCAAAGATATGCCCAAAGGCAAATCAATGTAGACAATCCCTCATTAAGATTCTCTTCTCAGGTGGTTCTAGGTTGTGTCTGGTTGACAATTAGCTTTAACTACCATGCTGCCCTTGGTTGAATCTGAATGGCTTGCCCAGACAAGTTTCCTTTTAGGCCACAAATCTCATGCCTGGTTTGCATCTTAGTTATTTGCACTGGGAGTATTTTCTGCCTAGTGAATACATAGTCATAAAGAACTCATGACTGTGGGGAGCAGATGAAGCACTAAATGGACATGTATTGCTGACAAGAGCATAGTCATGTCAATGAAGCCAATGCCTCAGACCTATGGGAATGGC